ATTTTTTCCGAAAACATGAGTTTCTGTTGCAAACAAGCCTAGAGCCAGGTGATGTCCAGCTACCATTATTGAGTGTCTTGATCAGAGATTCTTTAGAAGAATTATGATCCAAAGGAAGGAAAATACAAAAGGAAGTTCCAAGAGAATTCCTAATGGTCAATGAATTACAAGTCTCTGGATCCATTGAGGCTGGATGAACCTCTGAGGCTGCTGCTCTGAAGTCTTCTTAAGAGGTCAGTCTTCTTTCAACCAGAGCACAGGTTGCAGGATGTAATGCATATGTCACTGACATGGTACATGGAGAAGCTATTGAGTGAGTAACAAAAAACAAGTGAGAAAAGAGAATTTTTGTTTTTTAAAGGGCCAAAAAGTGCTTTCCTTGGCTGAGCCTTGAAAGTCCCTTTGAGATGCGGCCCCATCAGTGCTAAGGATATATTCCACTTGCCAAGTGTAGAGGCCATTTTTCTCCAAACCATTCAGGAATCTGGAGGACCCGTAAGCTTTTTGGAACAAGGTATCTTGTTTTAGGGCTCCTCATTAAAAAAGTAATTTCTGGCTTTACCATATATAATCATGTAACAAAACCTAAAGTGTCCTTTAAAATGTCTCAAACATACTACCTGATTTGTAGTACAGGAAAAGTGGGCAAATAATCCAACACACACTCATGCTTCCACCTTTTGCCATATTTGGTCTGGAATTTTTAGTACAGTAAGTATTACATACAAAGTAGCTCCCAGTTCCCTTCTCTCCTACTCTAAGTCTCAGTCAGAACCACAGAGAGAGTTCTTGGGAAGAGCAGAATCTTCAAAGTAAACCATTCCACAGCTAAGCTCACTTTATTCACTTTATTTTAATTTATTATTAAGAGTTAATACATATATTATTCTATAGTTGAATCACGTCAAGCAGTATTGGACAATTGCTACCACAATCAGTTTCCAAACATTCTTTTTCTTCCTGGACTCCTTGACAATATCGCTTTATTTAAGCAATGTCTGTGAGCCCAAACCCACTACCACTGAGTCAATTGCAACTCATAGTGATCCTATATGCAGTTTTTGAGACTAGTCTTTTGGGAAGCAGACGGCCTTATTTTCTCCCATGGAGTTGCTGGGTGGGCTTGAATTGCCAGCCTTTCTATTAGCAAGAGAGGGAACTTCCAAGGCTAATCGCCACAAGGCAGGGGTCATACATGCCTCCACCCTTCTTAAACCTACACTGACACCAACATTCCTGTGACACCAACTGAACTCAGAATACTTAGGACGATGGAGTTATGAGAGAAGTCAACAGATTACAACTCAGGTGAGGGATACTCAGGGTACAGTTGTTTCAGTTGGGGTAGTTTCTTCTCTGCCATACTTGCATGACCCCTGCCCAAAGGGCATGCCACTGCACTCGTTAAGTCTCTGACTGAAGGCATTCAGCTCTGAACATAAGCAAGCCCAGCTCCCCCAATCGAGTACCCAAGGCATCCCACTCCACAAGCCAGCCTCCTGCCCAAAGGCACTCAACTTGACTTGCTCTGAGGGCTGGGAAATCCACCTCGCTATTCTGTTTCTGCTTCACTGGTTTCAAGGCTACCTCCTGGATCAAGGAAGTTCAAGGTAGGGACCTTCAAGGGCCAAGGGATATGCTCCATCCTGACACTGCTCTCTGTAGTGAGATCTCCCTTCCTGCTTCTCAGAAGGCTGACTTTATACTAAGGTAACAAACACTCACAGATAAATCATATAGTGCAATTAGTATCTTCCTCCAACCGCTTACAAAGATTCAATCAAGGAAAATGAAGGTCACTTGGTGGGAATGACAAAGGCCATAAATAACTCATCTCAGTGCAGCAACCAGAAGCCTGATCCACAGTGTCACTAGGTCTCCTTAAGCAATATTCTTGAGAAAATAGAAACTGACATTTACACATTCAAGCCCTGAATTTTTAAAAGATGCCGTTTGCCCCACCCTACTCCCAGATTAAAATGACAAGACAGCCTGGGCTTCCTGTGTAGTCACCCCTGGGTGATCATGAGGTGATTCGAGTTGAAACTTAGCGCACTCTACTTTATACTCAACCAGCTTTGTGCTGTTGTCAACAAAGCTACCATTAGCATGTGTCCATACACCTGTGTTTCTTGTAAGCCTTACAACAGTAAACAAAAGTACAATCCTACGTAACTTAAAAAATCTGATGAAGCTTAAAAATCACTAAGTAATTCACAGGAATTTCTTATTTAATTTTTGAGAGTGCTTGTCTTGTGTTTTGACACTTATGAGATCATGATGGGTACTGAGGTTAATGGTACTTTGTACAACAAGATTAGGTCTAGATTTATAAGTATACGTGGTATAATGAGGTTCCTCATAGAGGAGGTGAAGGACAGCAGTGAGGAGGCATCAGGCCCAGGATCACACACTGACTATGTGATATATGCAAATGGCCGTTTCCTTCAGGGATGGGTCACAGCTTTTACCAAATCCTCAAGGGAGCTTATGGTCCAGAAAAAGGACTTAGACAGCGGGGTCTTACAGGCTCGAAGGTAAACAAGCGGCCACCTAGCTCAGAAGCAACAAAGCCCACATGGAAGAAGCACACCAGCTTGTGCGATCACGAAGTGTCGAAGGAATCAGGTATAAGGCATCATTAGAACAAAAAAAAATCTTACCATAGTGAATGATGGGGGGAGTGCGGAGTGGAGACCCAAAGCCCATTTGTAGGCCACTGGAGATCCCCTTGTAGAGGGGTCTCAGGGAGGAGACGAACCAGTCAGGATGCAGTGTAGCAACGATGAAACATACAACTTTCCTCTAGTTCCTAATGCTTTCTCTCCACCCCACCCCCACCCCCCACTATCATGATCCAAATTCTACCTTGCAAGTCTGGCTAGACCAGAGGATGTACACTGGTACAGACAGGAACTGGAAACACAGGGAATCCAGGGCGGATGATCTCTTCAGGACCAGTGGTGTGAGTGGCGATACTGGGAGGGTAGAGAGAGAGTGGGTTGGAAAGGGGACACCGATTACAAGGATCTATAGGTGACCTCCTCCCTGGGGGACGGACAACAGAAAAGTGGTGAAAGAAGATGTCGGACAGGGCAAGATATGACATAATAATTTCTAAATTATCAAGGGTTCATGAGGGAGGGGAAAAAAATGGAGAGCAAATGTTTTGAGAATGATGAGGGCAATGAATGTACAAATGTGCTTTACACAATTGATGTATGTATGGATTGTGATGAGTTGTATGAGCCCCTAATAAAACTATTGTTTTAAAAAAGGACTTAGACAGTAATGTGGTGACTTAGGTGGCATCCAAATGAAGTGGCAAAACATCCTACTTTCTAAATCCAACCTCATTTCCCAAACTTACCAGCACACCTAAAGGGAAGGTAATTAGTCACAATAAGTGCTTTGCTATAGAACACAGCCAAAGTCAGATGACAAAAGCACTATTTACAGGCCAATTTTAAAAGCTGGAATCCCATAGAGAGTCTACTGGCCACCCTCACAGGGTAGTAGTTCCTTAGACAACACACAAGTCTTGCTGCAGGTGTGAGGTGCTGGGAAGACTGGGAAACTATTCAGGGGCTCTGTTGTTCTATAGCCAACATTTCAGGTGGTCTTCAATCCTGACAGTGCTTTTCTCAGTGCAGGCCTGCCGGGGCCCCGCCTTTCAAAGGACAGTGGGTGGTGAGTCTGAAGCTTGTTGCCTTAGTAACGGCTCTAAACATATGTGCAGTGACATCAGCTGATTTCTGAAAGCTGTAAATAGAGGATATTGGCAAAAACAAAAAAACAATAAAAACAAGGGCTGCTCTCCCACCTTTACCACACCCTCTCCCTGAGCCAGTTTCTAGCACTTCAGATGTAAATCTGCATAAACATAAATCCACAAAACCCAACACAGGGCACCTGGACTCTCCATCTCTGTGTAAACTGGAGTGTGAGCAGAATCCATCAAGACAGCACACCACACCACACCACACCACACTCGGGCTCAGTTCCCTCACATTGTCCTTCTGGCTCTAAGACTCGCTGGCTTGCCCACCATCTGGGCCTCAAAGGCCAAAGCCAGCACCAACAGTCTGCACAGCCCGAGAGCAGAAAGAGGTAATGGTGTGCTGGATCTCCTGCAGCAGCCTCCCAGGCAAGGCAGCTCAGGGGGGTGGGGCAAGAGGGTGGCACAGACCCTTGTCACCCCCCAAACCTGTTTCTGTGTGAAGAACACAGTCTAATGCACCTCAGGGGGAATAAAGATGCTGACTCCTGGAGTGCGAGCATGGTTCTGAAGTCTTTGAAGAAAAGATCAAGTGACAGTATAAATGGAAACGCTCACAGCCAGGCTGAGAACAACCAACCTTAATGGAAAAAGAAGGGCCTAAGGGTAGAGTTGAACAGAAAAAGAAAGTGGTACAATTTCATAAGGACTTCCAGAATTTTTTTAAACTAATATCATCAATATCTACCCCCTTGTCTCTCTGCTTCCAGCATGTGATGATGTTATCGAGAGTTTTCCCCTTATTTCTCATCTATAACAGAAAACTGGGCATAGCAACCTCCCATGTGTTCACATTCAACACAATTTGATTTTCCATGCTGCAAAAATCCACTCATGGATCACACTGATATTAGTATTAAATATTCCAAGGAAACAACACAGGTGCAGGTTTTCACTTAGCAAAGGAATTCATCATGTGTTGCTCTGGGCGGCTTTTCCACAGGCTTGCTCCCACCTGGTAAAGGGGTGGGAGCAACTTACAACACTGGGCAGAGAAAGGCTTTGTAATTCTGATTATGCCACTAAATTAATTAAAACACACACACACACACACACACACACACACACACACACGTTTCTTTCTCTGGTGTGGTGTACTTGTTTTAACCTAATCCTCAACCTCAGAGCCACCTTCATCTTGACAAGACTGGAAGATGCTGCTCTGTAAACTACCCACACAAGTTCTTTCCAAGTGAAAATTAACTCAGATTTGTCTTTTTACCGTGAGAAAGAGATGCATTGGAGGGATAAGGCCTTGGAGTAACGATTTGTTGGAGAGTAAAACTGGTCCGGGGTCCTTGTATCTTTACTTTCACTATGCCTTTTCCATCTGCTTGCTGGAAAAATAATTAAGATGCCAGATTAGAAGAATGAAGCATCAGGATTGGAAGAAGACTCAGTAACAACCTGTGATATGCAGCTGAGACAAACATGCTTCTGAAACTAAAGAGGATCTGAAGCTCTTATTTATGAAATTCAGACGGTTCAGCTTCGGTATAACACATCAGCAAAAAGGAAAAAACCCTCACATGATGTTGTTTATTGGTAAATAGAGGAAAGATTGAAGTTGTTAGGGATCTTGTTTCACTTGGATCCACAATCAACACTCATGGGTGCAGCAATGAAGAAATTAAAGTGTATTTCACATTAACAAGGAGCCCTGGTGACACTGTGGATAATGAGTTGGGTTGCTAACTGCAAGGTCAATAGTCCAAAATCACCATCTACAAGAAAGATGAGGCTTTCTGCTCCTGTGAAGATGTACAGCTGGAGCCGCACAGGAGCACTTCTACTCTGTTCCAGAGAGAGTCGGCTTCTTTTTCAGATACAGCCATGTGATTTATTGCCATGAAGAACTCTGGCACATTAACAGAGGTCCTGGGAACCGCAGTTCATGGGGTTGCTTTAGATCAAGAGAATGGGAACGTTTAATGCCACCACACAACCAACAGAAGCCAGTCCACTTGCGAGGGCCTCCCTCAGTGCAACTGAGGCCCCTTATCATGGCCTGGATTCATTAATCCTTACCAAATTCCTCTTGATGGGGCTTTCTGCTCACAGTTTGCTTTACCCAGAGCTGTTAACTGACCAGGAGGCTGCAGCTGAGATTCACCCCACCCCCTAAACAAACAAAAACACATACACTAGGTCAGGTGCACAGTATCAGCAGGACCTGGACTTTGGGGTGCCCAATCACTTGGCTGCAGACATCCATCTGTTTGGACCTTCGTGGGCAACCCCATGAACTAGTATCATCTGGTGCTACCCACCCAGAGCCCCAGGTGTTTGGCCAGGGCTCAGTAAATGCTGCATGGAGCTCCCAAAGGCTGAGGTGGAGGAAGTCTGGAGGTCTGAAAGGGAGCTCCCCAAGAGGAGTGAACTGGTCCGGAGTGTTGGGACGGTGAAGCATGAAGGCAAAAGAGGCGCTGTGGTAGCATCTGCACTCTAGGAGATGCTCAGAGAAGCATGATCAGAGTTCTGATGGAAAATGCCAGTGGAAAAGAGCAGATGGGAGAAGTGAGAGTCACTAAGAACAAATAAAAACAGACATATGAGTAGTTTGACAAAAGGGCAGGGAGGAGGCACTCCAGGTGGTCTTGAAAACAGAAGTTCACGCCCTCAGGCCTGCTCACCCCCCACCCCACCTCCAGAAGTTGACAGTGCAATGTGGGAGCATCCACCCAGGACAGAAGAGACCAGCCTGCACATACTACTATAACTAACTCTACCATCATAGAGGGAGAAAAATGGGGCTGAAAAAAACGATCCAAAAAAGGAGAGGAAAAAGCACAGATAAGTTCAGAGACTACTCCAGAGACATCAGAGAGCTGTAGACATTTATGCACAGTAGAAGACAACTTCACAGTTACCTTCGCAGGAGGAGATTCTAGAACTGTAACTCAGTGATGGAGGAGACAGCCCCCACCAAAAACCACACCATTGATGGCAACGGTTGGGGGGGGGAGGCAGCAGCAGCAGCAGCAGCATGGATAGAACCTGCAGCTCACAGCCAAGATACCTTTCTGGTCAAGGACACAGGAGGTAGGCATGAAAGCTGACTGACTGTACAGGAAAGAACTGGAACGCTAAAGTGCCGTGTAGCTAGGGGAATGCACACAAACACCTTAGGGCAAGCAACCCTTCCAAGGCTGCAAAGTCAACCATGAGAAGAGGAATATTGATGGAGAGGTGGTGACTCAGTGATGCCAGGTGGGGGACCTTGTGGCTGCCACTGGCTGGAAAAGGTCAGTGATCCCATGAGACTGGCCCACAGAAAATTCTCCCATGCACATAGGTGCCAGTTGGCTGGTTAAATGAAGCCCAGGACTGGCTCCCCTAGACTCTTAGTGGTCCCTTCTCTCCAGATAGTAAGCTCAGTCTCTAACAGTCTCTAACAGGGAGGCAAAACAGCCCAGAAACCACCTCAGACTGAGGACAAATCCTATCACACAACTCCGGGGGTGGGGGGAGAAGCATGTATAAAACCCCTCAAGTCTGGAAATGCCCTTCAAGTACAAAGGGCAGACAGGAAATCAGAGTAAGAGATAAAACCTTTAAATTGGGAGATGCATGCAAGTAGTTCTTACAGGGGGATTATTGCCTGGATGCTAAAAACTAATGAGCTAAGAGTCCAAATAAAGAAGTTTTAAAAATTGGAAATACCACTCCCACCCCCAAGTAACTGTAGAACAACAGAGGGGGCTGTGGACAAGGGGCTCAGCCTCCCCCTGGCCAGGAGCCCAGTGAATGGAAGAAGGCTGCACCCAGGCACAGGGGGCACAAGGCAGTGAACAAACCACCGTGGCACTGAAAGGAGCTCTCACGTTATCAGGAGAGTGAAAGGGCAGAATCTCATCCCACAGTTCCATCAATTGCTCTGCAATTCAGTTATGGCTACAGCAGACCTTTGCAGCAATACCTAGATCAGGGCTCTCTGAACAAGTGAGAACACACAAGACCATCGTCTCATGTGCCTTCACAAGCAAGTACACACAGAAAAAGGCAGTAGTAAAATGTAGTGTGTTTTTTTTTTGTACAATATTTTTCAGTGTTGCCTAATTTTCAAAAATGCAGGCTACTATTCTTTAGAGAGAACAATTGGTTAGCTGCAAGCATCCTCCATTGTTGAGACTATGTCCAAAGCATCTGGAATGGAAGTATTTCTCAGGCTCTGGATGCTCCCTTCCATTCCATTCTTGTTGTAGTTTTAATTAGAAATAGGTATAGAATTGCATTAAGTGCCTCTCCTTTCTTGTATCATATGAGATGATCCACACAACGGGTAAGATATGATCTTCTGGGCACACTGTTGTTGAGACTCATGTTGTATGGTATAGGGCAGTAATTTGCTCCTTTTTATTGCCAAGTAGCTTTCCATTGGAAGAATGCATCACATTTACCCAATAACCCATTGAGAGACAACTAGATGGTTTCCAGTTTTTAGCTATTATGAATAAATCAATCATTTGCATACAAGATTGTGTGGATATAAGTTTTCCTTTCTCTTTGGTAAATAACTAGTACTGAGATTGCTAGATCATACGGTAGGTGAATAAATGTTTAAAAATCATCTACTTGAGAAAGGGGCAAGAAAAATATTAAATGTGCAGGACACATTTACATTTTAACACTGATGTAAAATGGTAACAATAGAATTAAAATTAAACAGAAAGTTTGTGCCTGAATCCACAGGTGACTGCAAAAAAAAAAAGGGGGTGGGTGGGGTGGAACACTGTTTTTAGTTGTGCATCTGCCAAGCCTGTGGATCAGAATAAGGTGTGTAGCAGGGTTGTATCCTTTTCCTTGGTTCAATCTGTGCAATGAGCAAACAAACAATCTAAGATGCTGGGCTAGAATTGCAGGACGGCTCATCCCCAACTTGCAACATGCAGGCAAATCTAGCTTGCTGAGAAAGATGCTGACTTAGAAGCACTTGTTGAAGGTCAACTACAGCCTTCAGCACGGGTTTCACCTGAAGGTACGAAAAAGAAAATCCTCACAATTGGATGGATAAACAGCATCATGATAAATGGACATGACATTAAAGCTGCCAATGATTTTACTCTTGGATCAATAGTCAATACCCTTTCATGAAAGCAATATTCAAAAGACCTATCTGCTATAAAATGCCTCTAAAGTTTCTTGGGTAAGTAAGGTGAGCCATGGTCCGTCCAATCACTTCCCTTGCATGTGTGTGAACACTGAACAGTTAATCAACCCTCTGTCATTCTTTTTAAAATGTAACTTTGAATTATGGTATTGATAAAGAGTAACTGGTCTTCCAGAAAAACAAATCCATCTTAGAAAAAAATATAACCAGAATGTTTCTTAGAGATGAGAATGGTTAACTAAAAGGGGGTGGAGGGAGAGACATAGAAGGGAGGAATAGGGCACTAACCCACCCAAGGGGAGGGTGTTGTTTCTATCTCCACAGGGAAAGAAGAACCAGACTTCAACCTGGTGCGGAACCAATAGAGAGGTCTGAGGGGCCAGACCCTCCCCACAGAAGAATTCACTTCAGAGGACAGCAATGAAGCTACGGCTGAGGGAGAGGGGCACGTCAGATCAGAGCACACAGGAGCAAACAAAGGGGGAGGGAACGAGAGTGGAGCACATTCGGGCCCACCAAGTCCCAAGGACAATATTCTGCGTCAGAGCAGCCGATGCACAGAGAAGACCTTAGAGCCGGCCCTAACATGAGACACGACATCCCTCACTGACCCATAGCCCTACAGGGGACAACACTGGAGACACAGTGTAGAAACTGTCTGATCTAACCTCACCACACGGGGGTAAAACACTAAGGGTGTGCGAAAGAGGAGCAAGGCAATGAAGTCCCCTGGGAATACCAAAAATTGACTTTGGGGTCAAGGCGTGGCACTACAACAGACTCGACAAGGGAACAACAAGTGATCCAAAATGGGTGGCGAGAAGGGTGTAAGAGGCCTGGTAGGGCTTGATCAAGGGCAGTGTAACCAAGAGGAATTACTGAAACCCAAATGAAGGCTGAACATGATAGTGGGACAAAAGGAAAATAAAAGGAAATAACTAGGAGGCAAAGGGCATTTGTAGAGGTCTAAAAACAGGCATGTACATGTATTTATATATGACGATATGGAAATAAATCTATGTACAAGAACATTTTGTTCTAATAACCTGGCATTCCGTGATGCTCGCCTTCCCGACACAATCACTGAAGACAGAGTGGGTACATAAGCAAATGTGAAGAAAGCTCATGGTACTCGGCTATCAAAAGATATAGCACCTGGGGTCTTAAAGACTTGAAGATAAACAATCGGGCATCAAAGACCCAG